ACCACCTCCAGTTTGTGCGTCTTCCAAGTATTTTATCTATCTACCTGTACTGACGTTGTACATATGATTATTTTGAACACATGATCATGCCTTGTGCATGTCTCACAGGTTTCGTGAAATATACATTATTATTATTATTATTAGTTATTAGGGCAGTTCATGAGGTGTTCTTTCGGCATCCATGTTTCCGTGATTGCTATGATCACGGAACCTTGGATTTGAGCCTCTAGTTCGCCTCACTTACCACACGTTGGCAGCATCTGCCTCCTTATGGTGGTGAGCCTGCCTTAATCTCGGCGAACCCTCGGTCGCAAGGCCCAAGGAACGACCTCGTTTTTTGACTTATTTAGTTGAGTGGACTGCATCACTTTGAGCTGATGATCTTCCCAAAAGCTAGCCCTGGGGTTTTTACTGTGGAACCATTCCTATGATGAAGTAACATTAACCTCTTCAGTCTTAGTCATCCATTTGGCATTCTAACCACAATGGTTGCCCAGGTATCCGTCGGCAATTCATCCACAGAGTTCCTACTATTAGGGTATTGACCAGTTTTCGGTTTTCCCATCGACTCCTTCTGTTGGTCGGCCATTTGTGTCTTTTCAACCAGTCGGTGACTCCTGACGACTTTTCCCCCAAGTCTCACCGTACGTGGTGTGGATTCGCTCAGCGGTGAGACCGCTGAGGTCGTCCCATCCTCCTTTGCCTGTTTTTCATATAGGCAAAGATTGGGTTTCGCCACACCGGTAGCACGCTTGCCCTTTTTTTATTACTAACTGGGGTTCATTGCCGTTTGCTTTCACCGTGCTGGTTGTAACACTCAAAAGAACTGAAAATTCCTCTCAATTACCTTGCATTTCCTTATCTTTCCTCGATATTCCATTGTGCATTCTTTCTGACAGTGGTTTTTATGTTAGTGAATTTTTTATTCTGAACTTTCTATTTTATCCATTTTAAGGTGAAGCATATCTATTGGACACACTTCCAGTGGTCCGCTCTTATATGTAAATGGGATTCAGTGCTTTTTTTGTTTCATTGCGACCAAAGTTTCGATTGGACGCTCTTTGTTGGACTGACCATTGCTTTTGGTTATATTGGACCCCTTTTGCCTATAACTCTCAAAATTATTGTGCTTGATCTACTGAAGCGTGCATAATTTTCCTATTGGTCCAGAATTATCTGAAAGGTAATTCAAATCATTTATTTTCTTATGTGCTTTTTATTACCGCAGACATATGCTGTGAATATTTGAAACACTTTGGCTGGATAGTGAATCAGGCTCACTATCAGAGGTGTGACTGCCTTATGTATTGGTGATTAATGCCAAAATAGTACCGTAGATTACTTTTGGATCGACTTGGTTCTCGATAATTTGGGCTACGCTTTGCTCTGAGGTCTGGTTATCGCTATCCAGAACGAGCGAAGGGTTATTTGATTGAACGCATACAGACGAGGTCCTTTTATTTTTGCTCGGACCAGGATAATCGCGTTTTGGTCGTTACAGTACTCTTATATGACCGTCACTCGGAGAATGAATACGACGAACAAGGACGTTGATGGTGGACAGCGTGGATCCGGCCGCAACATTGGAGAATCTCGGCAAGTCCCTTTGCATAGTGTTTCTGTTCATGGCTCCAGGGTTAGTGCGTCTAGTCGGCCGAGCGATAAGTCGAAGCTTAGCCATCTGCTGGAAAAAATGGAGCAGCAGATGAAATAACTCCAAGAAAGGTATAGAAGCGAACGGCTAGCAGTACAACAAGAATTGGAGGCTGCAAGGCTCGCAGAAAAAAGGAGGATAAGTTGTTTATCCGTTCGATTGAGTGATGTAGTTCGTTGAAAACCATCCATTATGGGACGCTAGGGAGGCGAGTGTTTCTTTTGTTCCCAGGATAGCAGGGTTCGGTGAGCTAGAGAGAGAACTTAAGACAACGACGTCCACTTCAGGCCGAATTACTGCGAATCTAGACCTATCCAAAGTTTCTATCTTCCGATGGGTGATCCACACTATACTAGAGGTTCATTCGGCAATTTCAAATATACGTTGCTTCCAAGACCAATGGCAATGAGCAACGCTTGTTATATTTGCTTCATTACTGTAAGGGGAAGGCTAGAAGCGCAAATGAAGATTGCATGATGTTGCCACCGGCGGTTGAGTACGATAAGGCATGTGCAATTTTCAAAGATCTATTTGGGCGCTCGCACGATGTAGCGCGCTCACTTTTAGATGGATTACTGGAGGGTCTCAACATGAATGGCGTGGACGCTGATGTATTGTCATGTCTAGCTATTCGAATGGAAAGCTATATGATTGCCCTGGAACAAATGGGTTACACGGCTGATCTTAATTCGCTTAGCACGTTGGAACAAATAGTTTAAGAGTTGCCGTATTCTCTGCAACATAAGTGGGCGGAGACCGTGGATCGGATTGCTCAAAACAACAGGGAGCCAAAGTTTAGCGAACTGACAGAATTCATATATGCAATGGCTAGAATAGCAAGGAGTCACCTTGGGCAACTTGCTAACCGAAGCAGAAGAAGTAATAGACCCATCCAGTCTGTACAACCTTCGAGTAGGCGTCAACCTCCATTAAACTATAGTGGAAATTTGGTCTCGAATAATAACGATCTACGTACACAACGATGTGTGATTTGTGCTGAAAACCATCTGGTTTTATCTTGTTCGAGGTAAAGAAAGACGTCTTTCGCCAACAACTATGCGAGGCCGAGGCTAAGATGGCTCTTGCAGAGATTGAGTGCAACAGCGATGCAGAAGACGCAGCATCCAGGTGCTTCAAGTCAAACTACAAGGAAAGAGTAGAAACCTATCTACGAGAGAGTGTGAAGTTTAGTAGGGGCGTGAGAGAAATACCTACGCCTAGGCATGACAACCTTCACGGCCTAGAACTCCCGCGGCTAGAACTCATTTCTTTCTATGGAAACACTACAGAATATTGGCGATTCAAACGGCAGTTCGACGGTTTCTTTACCAGAATCTCTAGTGGGGAAGAAAGAAAACTGGCTTATCTGTTACACTGTGGTAAGGGAGTAGCTAAAGAGATAATGGAACCGTGCCTGCTAATGTCAGAGGAAGATGGGTATCATACGGCCAGGGAGATACTCGATAAATTATTCGATCAACCGCACGAAGTATTTAGGGCTGTAGTAATGAACGTTCTAGCTGAAACAGCAGAATTGAGTGGAACATATGAGGGCCTGAGCAGGCTTGGCATTAAATTGCGAAGCTGCTACATGGTCCTAACGGAAATGAAATGTGGATCGGAGTTGGATTCCATACCCGCACTGGAGTCATTAGCTACACGATTGCCCAGACGCTTACAACATACGTGGGTCGTGGATAGGATTGTATCCAATGGCGGACGGTAGCGGTTTATCGACTTCATCGAAATAATAGAAGCGGAGTCGAGGATTCAGGACAGCCCTTTTGGAAGGCTAGTGGACACAAGGCGTTCACTAGACACTAATCGCCCCTGGGGCCCTTGGCGTACCACGGATATGAACGTCACTACAACTAGACAAACATCAGAATCAATGCAGAACTTTCAGTGCCCCTTGTGTCGGAAATCACACCCACGTACTAAATGTGAAGGTTTCCTCAAGTCGGATGTGGTGGAGAGACGGAAAACTGTGGAGAAATTAAAGCTTTGTTATACGTGCATTAAATATGGACACCTGGCGCGGGCATGTGAAGAAAATGGTAAATGCTTGGTTGATGGTTGCAACGGTAAGCATCATAGCCTGCTTCACTTGTCACGTAGGGATCAAGTGTCCGCGAATGTGCAAGCAATCGTGGGGGATTCCTGTTCCGCACCGAATGATATTACTTACCTCGGAATAGTCCCGGTAGAAATAATGCACGGCGATAAATAGCGGTGCGGATACCACAATAGTTAGTAAGGAAGTTTCCGAACTGTTAGGGCTAAGTGGCCTGGGAGTACGAATAAACGTTCACACCGTGGCTGGAGAGCGATGTATAGTTAGTCAAAGGGTATCATTCGAAGTTAGCCCCCTTAGGGATGATAAAGGCATTAAGGTAAGCACTACATATACCATTGATGCCAAAGAGCTCAGGTACCGGCTGAGAAACAAATGGCTCGGTTGACCCACCTAAAGGGAGCATCCGATCAACCATGGGGTTCAGTTGATCGTTGGTTGTGATGTCCCCCAAGCTCGTTGGGTGATTAATGGTCGATACGGCGGGGCCAAACGAGCGTTTTGCGATCAAAACTGCGTTGGGATGGTTGATTATGGGACCGTCCTTGAACGTAACCGCTTGCGAAAAATGTTTACAGTTACTCGGGAGAGTAAAACCAGCATCACGTTGGAGGATTTATACAATAAGGAGTTTGAAAACGATTGTTATACATCACTCCGAGAAAGATCTTTGAGCTGTACAAATAGCAGAGGGATCGATACAACATGACAGAAAACGACTTAGCATCGGATTAACGTGGAGAAGCAAACCAGAGACCATGCCGAGCAACTACGAGCTAGCGTTTCGGAGGTTAGAATGCCTGAAACGCAGGTTTATGCGAAATCCAAGTTTATTTAATAGGTACAATATTTTATTGAACCACCACTTTCGAAAGGGCCATTTCGACCGCGTACCTGACTATCAGATGGAAGTCGCGTACAGACCTAGGTGGTACCTACCACATCATCCGGTGGTAAACCCAAAGAAACCTGAAAAGGTTAGAATAGTCTTTGATTGTGCAGCCACCTATTAAGGAATTTGTCTTAACTAGCACTTCTTGTCAGGACCAAATACCGTGGCTAACTTAGTTGGAGTACTGCTGCGCTTTCGCTTACGCAAAGTAGCTGTAGCAGCAGACGTACAAGAGATGTTTTTGCAGATTAGAGTGCCTGAACGTGACTCGGGGGCGTTAGGATTTCTATGGTGGCCTGATGGAAATCTCAGTCAACAACCAAAGGAATATAGAATTTTAGTTCACGCATTTGGTACTACCTCGTCGCCATTTTGTGCGAACTACGCATTACGCCGCACGGTCGAATCAATCACAGACATAGGCAATGATCG